CAGGTCCTCTTAAGATATAAAGAACCTTCTGAGTCATACATGTACATGTTTTTTTTCTTTTTCATTTACATTTTAGTCATTCTGTGTGTTGGAACAAATGGAAAAGTTGTCCGCCACTACATCCTATAGACGTTACTGATTCAGCCAATTTGAAAAGCCCATACCTACATGTTTTAATGATTACAAATTTACACCTTCAAAAATGTGTACATGTAACTTTGTCACTTTTAGTCTGATTTAAATTTAAATCAAATTGTCCCCATTGTGCTTCTTATATTTGTTCAGCCTTCCACTGGTAGTTTGCTAATACTAGAGAATAAGGTGGATTTCCCTTTAACATTAGGTATATTAAATCTTCTGTGAGAAGAGAGATTATGGTGTCTGTTTTTCACTATTGCAGCAGTGCAGTGGCAGATCCAGATTGGGGGGGGGGGGGGGGCGCGGGACCCCCTCACTTGGCCCCATAAACAGGTAAATTTAACCTTTTTTAGATTTAAAAAAGACGCCCCCCTGGAGAAAGGGGGGAGCAAAGGGGGGCCGGGGGTGGTGGGTGTTAACTCGGTGCTCAACATTTTTTCACGAATTGGGCCCCCTTTCAGCCGGCCCCCTCCCTTTCTGCAGACTGGATCCGTCCCTGCAGCAGTGAATTCCACTACAGTCACATAAATGTCCCAATAGTGTCAACAATTAATTTGGATAAACTTGCATAAATTTGCATAAACTTCCATAAATGTGAGTGCAACCAAGATGATCAATTACAGAACAGGGACAACCAACAGCTTGTTCGCTAGACTGGTTAGAATAGCCTTAGGGCTAGGTGATAACATGAAATATGATATGGATGTCACTAAGCCTTAATTGGCACCCATATCGAGAGTGACACACCAAATTGCTATCCCTCCAGTATCAAATATTTACATTTTTTGTTAAATGTTTGTATTATTTTAAAGTGATTTGTATGAGAAGAAAGAAGAGTTTATATTACTAGTCCTACAGTATAGTAATACTAATCATACTGGTATTAACAGCTACCACCAGTGGGTAAGGTTATTTTAGTGTGGGTACTTCTAGTGGTTATTATGAACAAATTTGAATTTTTGTTTTATATCAATTATCAGTCTTGGTAGGGGTACGGGTATCAATTAAGTGGCTCGGTAACATTGCCTCAGATTCTGAAGAAAAAAACTCCTGGATTTAGCTCATGCTGCAATCATGATTACAAACATTTAGGTCAGTCAGGAATCCCATGACTTTACAAGCCGATTGCCTAGCTGTCTGATTATCAAGATATTTATGATTGGAAATCAAAATTTCATTTTTTGTTTACCTAACAGTTTTTTATTACATTCATGTACACTACAGTCTTTTGGGGAAAATGAGTATGGTAAAAATGGTAACTCAAACTAACAGATTTTTACTTCTTTGAGGCATTTCTATCATGATCATTTTGAAGCGCAATTTTGTTTAGGGCTTCAATATTACACCATATCACAGGCACTGATAACACGTAGGGCCATACAGCTCAGATTGAATATTATTAAATGATGGGTATAGGCCAAGTGATATCAATGTTATTAGATCTACAACCTGCGTCTAGCAGCTACCATGAGCTGAGGATGCATGATGACACCGACAGTAGCCTATACGTGTGAAAAGTTGATGCACATGGGTCATATGGCAAGATTATTAAGAAATCTGATTTGAACGTCATATGCTACCTTACGTAAAGTCCACGCCTAAAATGCAATCATTAGAGTCACAGTTTTTGATATTTTATATCGTATTCCACCCAGGCCTGCAGGGCAAAACCACTCCAGCAAGGCTATAGTCAATGCTTAGGCGTATTGTCCTCTAGCGCTGTTACATGTACGTGCTGAGAGGCAGCAATAGCACACGATGAACACATTGCACACAATTGCACACTAATGCACACAATGTATACAAAGTGGTTGTTAGCAAGTTTGACAGTAGACTCACGATTTGAATTTTTGAATTTTTCTTTCTAGTCTAGATCTATATGACTATAGACTAGATTCTAGATCTCTAAGTATAACTATAACATAGACCTAAGTTGAAAAAATTGTATGCTATTTAGGTGTCATCAACTCCCGGCCCCCCCCCCCCCCCCCCCCCCCCCCACTCCGAGAACGGATGGACCCCATGTGTGTTACCAAAATGTCCTTTTCATAACAAAAGAAAAAGGTCGACCCGTATTGACTTTACACACCGGACTTTTGCTGAAAAAGGCTTGTATAACAAAAGAAAAAGGTCGACCCGTATTGACTTTACCCCGGCCCCCCCACGCAGGGGTCGGAATGACCGCATGCGTGTTACCAAAATGTCCGGTAAAGGGGTACTTTTCGTGCGACAAAGTCCGGCCCGAGAATTGTAAAAAAAAGGGGTGTATTTGACTTTTCACCCGGAGATTTCTTTAAAAAGGGGGTGTTTTTTCTTTTTTTCTCTCATCTCTTTTGACTCCTGAGAAATTATTCTGAATTTAGGGGGGTGCATTGAGCATTTTTCCTGATTTAGGGGGGTCTCCAAGGCAGGAAAAGCCTGTGAAAAGACCGCGAAAGGGGGGTTCGAAAATGTTGGCAGTCCTCAGATAGGGGGTGCATTCAAAAAGAGGGAACGAGCATATGCGTACCCTAAATAACACTGAGTGGGAGGGGGGGGGGGGGGGGGGCAGGGACTTTACACACCGGACTTTTGCTGCAAAGGGGGGGGGGGAACACGCATATGCATACCCTAAATAACACTGAGTGGGGGCATCAACTATCACTAAAGTACCGATTTTGAGTGAAATCAGTTGAGTTTTGTACAGTGTAGTTTGAAATGCTGAAAATCAATATGAACAGTTTTTAATACACAGCTGCACAGCCAGGATAGTAATGCAGCTATGTGTGGGCAAAACCAGGGACATGGCTCGTGATGTCCACCAGTCTAGGTATCCTGCCGGGCGGGAGCGGCGGGCCCGGCGCACCTGGTAGGGCTATTATTTCCATTTGAATGTGCAAGTTAGATTTATTTAAAAAAAGAATAAAATACGGTGTTACTGTAGAACCTACCTTAATCAGACGGATGGGCACATAATAGAGACCTATCTTGATGTCAGGATACTAATGTGGTCTAGTTGTTTCAGTCGGGCAACCGTGTTCGTGAAAGAGAAGAAAGACAGCTGCACGATGCGATGGAGAGTTAGCTCGAGAGCGGGCTGCCGTCGCGTCCGGGGCATGCATCGCAGGCGGTCAGATCCGAGCTTCCAGCGTGGCCGTGGATGCGCCAGATTCAGAGCGAGTGCTAGTTTCTCGAAACTGCCATAAGTCTAAGCTCGTGGAGATTTGGTAGAAACACGTGTTAGATCTCTATCACACGTTTCAATACGATGTCTAAAAAGTTAGACTTAATGACGGTTTCGTGAAACCTCCCCAGGTGTTCGGTGTCGGGGATCTGGGCAGCGTTTCATGAAACCGTCATAAGTACAAGTCCAACGACATCCCATTGAAATGTGTGTATTAAGTTTAACACACGTTTCAATGGGATGTCGGTGAACTTGTAGTTATGACGGTTTCATGAAACGCTGCCCTGATCCAGTGGATGCCTGGTACTGGGAGGCGCACGCCCCCCTTTTTTTTTCTCCCGAAAAAAAATGTGTTCGCATACATATTCTGTTTAAGCATTTGGATAGGCCTCAGAATCTGCCAAAAGGCTAAGATTATCCGGGGACCGCATCCAGTTGAAGGCTTTATTCTCGCAATTTCGTTTATTTCAAGCTTCCCCCCCCCCCCCCCCCCCTCCCCTGTAAAGTCTTTGATCTGCCCTGGATGTATGGCCGGGTAACCTGGCGCTACAGTCGTTTGTAGAAAAAAATGTTGCTGGGCGCTGTCGCCTGGTTAATGAGTCTAACCACAAAAAGTAGGTCTTAAAATAGCGTTAATGACTACTGGACGCAAATCAAACACATGTTGGATGTGATACAAAAACGGGTCAATACATATTGCATCATTTTTCCAAAACTGGTCAATGACTTTAATGTCGCAGCTCGTATCGGGTGCTCGGTTAGATCCTCTTTTTTTTTTGGGGGGGGGGCATCATTGACAAAAGCGCAAATATTTGCATGCGCTCGAGTCATGTATATACCAAAAAAAACCCATTAATCTTAGAGTGGATACCACAAAATCAGAAATCTTAAAAATGCCAAGATCATAACACTTTGGGTAACGCGTTTTGATTCAAATACTATTTTCCTAAGGCAACGTCGTTTTCCAAATTTACTAATGTTACAAACGTTGCAACAGCGATACATTTGCATATACAATCAGCTGTGTTGACGAGAGCAATAATCCCTTTGTCAACACAACTGAATTTTATGGGAAACTGCAATTTGTTCCCTGCTCCAAGCATGTCTACGGTTGGGAAAGTAACACATTTTGAAAAAGACATGCCTCAAGAAAACAGCCGTACAATCAAAACGCCCTGTTTAAAAATGAAACAAGTACTCTTAGTGCCATTTTTACTTGAAAAAGATCATACCCAATGAACAAAAAAGAATGATATCGTTTCATGCCGCGAGTTGGAATTTTATGGGCTCCAATACCAGCTAAATTCATCAAAATTCTCATTAATATGCATAACCGCGAAGAATAGCTTTGATTAAGTTTCTTATGTGGAGAAAAGGTAGTTATTACAGTCATGAGAGAATGAAACGGAAAATGTGGTAGAGAAAGAAAGAGAGAGAAAGAGACAGAGGCACAGAGCATGCAGAGAGAGAGGGAGAGAGAGAGAGAGAGAGAGAGAGAGAGAGAGAGAGAGAGAGAGAGGATTGAGAGAGAGTGAGAGAGAGAGAGAGAGAGAGAGAGAGATAAAGATAGAGAAAAAAAGACAGAGAGTAGGGATCGTGTGCATGCATTCTTATTATGTTATACTTTCAAATGTTGAGCCGAAAACACCTTTGTTTCAATACAGTAATATCATTTTCTCTAAAAATCTATTTCAGTTCCTAGAAATATCAAAGTGAAAACCATGGCGCGCCCGGTCATGCTAGTCGCCCTGATCGTCGTATTCCTAACATTGATCTCCTCGTCGACGACGGAGTTCGTCTTCGAAGATGTCTTCAATGATCCGGAACGCGACACCTTTCTCCACGGAACCTTCCCCGAGGGATTTATCTGGGGTGCCGCTACGGCAGCCTATCAGATCGAAGGAGCTTGGGATGAGGATGGAAAGGGTAGTTATATTTCATTTGATTTGATTTGATTTTCTTCTGCATTCATGTAAGTATACAGTTTTTCGATAATAATAATATAAAGTAAAATAAGTATTTTTCTGACAATGAAATATAAATAAGCAAATACATATATATATAAATTGTTATTTTCAAAAACGAAATGATAAACTGTCATAAATACTAAATTTCCTCAAACATTATAATACATGGTAAAGTTATTTGCGGATGTGGATCTGATTGGATGTGATTCATTCATTCCAGACGATAACTGAAACATTTTATATCTAAACTTTACATTGTAGTCAAATTTGATGTAATATGATAATAGCCCAGGGCCCCGTCTCATAAAGAGTTAATATCATTCGCAACTATAAGAGATAAGAGACTGCGAACATGCGATTGATTGGAGCAACTCTTTACAAGACGGGACCCAGGGATTTTAGCGTTTATATGCTTAATGCTATAAAACGGTTTTGGGTTTGTGTATGTTTTTAATAAGATATAAAAATGTGTGCATTGTAATATCTGTCACCTAGAAGTTATTTTCTTTTTTGTTTATGAATTGTTCAATATCTATTTATTTATCACTTATTTATTTATCTATATATTCGTTTACCTATTTTTGTATTTGATTATGTATTTACTTATCATTTTTTGTTTCATGTTGTGACTGAGTTATGGAAATAAAATTATTAGGGATTGCATTAAATGGAATTTACACCCTTCACCACAGGACCAAATATCTGGGACGCTTTCACTCACATCCCTGGAAAGACATATGACAACCAGAATGGCGACGTCGCCTGCGACAGCTATCATAATGTTGAACGCGACGTCGAAATGGTCAAGGAGCTCGGTCTGACGCACTATCGATTCTCTCTCTCCTGGTCAAGAATATTCCCGACTGGGTTTACCCATCAGGTAAGCACACCCCACCCTACCCCTACTCACACCCCTACCCATCCCGATCAGTCACTAATATTACAATTACCGTCCCTCGAACCAGTAAACAGATAGGTGATATAGGGCATTTTAGTAATTGCCCCCCAAAACCGGAACTTCTTACCCCCCCCCTCCAGTACAGAAGAACTGCCATACTCTCAAAACTTTCAAGAGGTGTCTAAATTCACATCTTTTCTAAATTGTTATGATACTCCTTGTTTTTTATATGATAATGTTTTTTGTTCTCTTAGTTTGTTTGTTTTCTCATTAATTTTATGCGTTTTGTATCTAATTTTTCCAATACAGGTGAATCCCGCAGGGGTGCAGTACTACCACCGTCTGATTGATGCCCTCCTAGAAGCTGGTATCCAACCCGCTGTTACCCTCTATCACTTCGATCTTCCTCAGATGTTAGAAGAACTTGGTGGATGGGAAAATGAGATGATGGTCCTCTACTTTCAGGCTTATGCCGATTTTTGTTTCAATGAGTTCGGCGATAAGGTATTAAATAACTCTTCACCAGGGGTCCGTTAGAGTGATATCCCTCCCCCAACACACACACCCCTCATTAAACTTTCGTTATAAGTATCTGTCGGCATATTTCAATAATTAACGACATCGCCCCTTTTTTCATTTTTGTCGCTGTTCCGCAAATTCGGTCGGACCCCCCTTCCGCATTATTCAAAATGCTCTCGCGACACCACTAGTCCTCACATTACTGTCTTGAATCATATGGTATCTACTCCTCCGTCAGTGGAGAAATGATAATTTGGATGGGGCTGGGGGCAAGAAAAAAGATTAAAAAGCAATCATTATTATTGATGAATTAATAGGCAAATGGAAATGATGATTTTACTCTTGGATATCATGACGGTTTTCAAAGCAGCCATGGCCTCTCCTGACTCAGTAATAGGCTGCGTCGGATGGATGGGGGGGGGGGGGGGGGTACCATGGGATCTTTAAACAAAAAAAAGACGTCATGATGAAAACAGATCGGAAAAATATATAAAGTAGAATATCGAAACGAGGGCGGGAGTTGCAGAACCATAAGAAATACTATTATCCACAACCCTTTAATATGACATCCACAACATTCCCTAAGTAACATAGTGGTTGATTGGTTAGTTGGTTTTGTGGACAGATAACTTCTTTAGGTTACTTACCGGTACTTCTCTGGGTTTGTTTGGAGCTTGTTACACGTGGTATGTGCATTTCGCACAATAAAGGCTATTTTTCACACGTACGTAAATATTGCTTGCATTATGTTACAAGCGCGTAGCCAGGATTTTGTTTTAGGGGGGCGGTAGTGAGCACGCGAAGCGTGCGAATCTCTTACAAAGCGCGCGTAGCGCGCTCCATAGGGGGGTGGGTGCAGGGAGGAGGAGGGGGGGGGGAAGGGAGTTTCCACCCTCCCTTGCGAAGTGCTAAAGCTTTGACGTTTTATTCAATTATTAGAGCAAGAATACGATTCGTTGTACCGTTGTCGACTCTTAATCCTTTTTCTTCCTACGTCCTCTTCCTTTCTTCTTTCTCTCTCTCTCTCTCTCTCTTTTTTTTTGGGGGGGGGGGGAATACGATTCGTTGTACCGTTGTCGACTCTTAATCCCTTTTCTTCCTACGTCCACTTCCTTTCTTCTTTCTCTCTCTCTCTTTTTTTTTTTTGGGGGGGGGCGACCGCCCCCATCGCCCCCCCCCCCCCCCCCCCCCCCCCCCCCCGCTGCTGCGCGCCTGTTATGTTATTATTGTCTGGTTGAATTGCTCTTCTTTATTCGTGTATTCTCATGTATGAACTGATACAATGTATGTCAATGTTTTTTTTTTTAAAGTAAAGCGCGTACATAATTGTTCGAATTCTTATGCGATATAACCACTTTCCATTACTGTTATTACTTTTCTTTGTGTGTGTGTTTTAACAAATATGTCTTTAGGTGAAGATTTGGTTTACAATCAACGAGCCCAAAGTGATCGCTATCCAGGGGTACGAGGCAGGCATATTCGCACCGGGAAAGACGCGCCCGGGCTACGGAACCTATCGCGTCGTACATACCATGCTGAAGGCGCACGCGCGTGCGTGGCACACGTACGATCAGAAGTACCGCGCAACACAGGGCGGGAAAATTTCCATCGTCTTTAACTCGTTCTGGTCAGAGCCGGCTGACCCAGAGAATCAGGCCGATGTTGAGGCGGCGGAGAGGATGAGGCTGTTTGAACTCGGCTCCATGGCGAATCCCATATTTGGAAACGGTTTGTATCACAAAAAACGTGGGTTCAGGGGCGGGGGTGAGGGGGGGGGGGGATGGGGGACCGGTCTTTGCCAATAACTACATTAACAATAACGTTTATTTTAATAATGATAATGATAGAAAATATGACAATTATAATACATATAACAATACCTGGTAGTAATAATATTCACATCTCTAAGCACTTTACAAAGTAGTTATCCCGATTACTACCCCGGTTATACATGATTGGATTCAATACACTGGCCATGTGCCATTTTCAAGCGAATCGCAAACGTTTCAACCCAACAACGCATTCACTTACGCTCGCATCCTTACTAAACGGGTAGCATAATCATTTATATTTTATAGAGACGAGCAACGTATAATTCGTGGAATTTTGAATTTGAATTTGAAATTGAAATTGATTTGTGAGAATATTATTGGAATTTGAATCTGAAATTGGAATTTGGATTCGAATTGAAATTTGAATTTGAATTGAGATTTGATTTTAAATTTGAATTTATATTTGAAATAGATTTGTGAATATATCATTTAAATTTGAATCTGACATTATAATTTGGATTTGAATTGAAACTTTAATTTCGAATTTGTAATTTAAAATTTAAAGTTAGTTATATGAGACGATCCGGAGCACATCAAGGATGTAGTAGAGAACGCAAATGAGTCGCGCTCAATATTTATGTCGCGTGTCTCTTCATTCATTCAACTATAAACAGATTTGGATTATAAATTTTTATTTTTATTTTAATTTCAATTTAATTTTCAATTTGAATTTCAATTTAATTTTCAATTTTAATTTCAATTTAATTTTCAATTTTAATTTCAATTTAATTTTCAATTTCAATTTCAATTGAATAGAATTTGAATTCAAATTTGGTTGTTGGAGACTATCCACATCAAGGATGTTTAGTAGGGAAACTGAGTCGTGCCCATTGTCTTATTGTGTATCGTGTCTCTTTATTCAACTATAACCGGATTCGGATTTGGATTTGGAATTTGAAATTTATAATTTGAAATTTGGTTGTAGGAGACTATCCGGAGCTTGTCAAGGCTGTGGTAGGGAATATGAGTCGTGCTCAAGGTCTTACCGTGACCCGTATGCCTTCATTCACTCCTGAGGAACAGCAGCTCATCAAGGGTACAGCCGACTTCTTTGGTCTCAACCACTACTCAACAAGGTAAGCCTAGGCTGCCGAACTAGTCAATTATGTATATATATATATATATATATATATATATATATACAGGATGGAAAGAAAGATAGAAAACAAGCGAGCGAGAAAGATAGAGAGAGAGAGAGAAAGTCTCAACCAATACTCAACGTGTAACCTGTCAATATGCATATGGAGCGTGAATAGTGGGAGGGAGATGGGGGAACCGAAATTACTGTGAAATTCTCTTACTATAGACTATAAAGGAACTCACTTTTGATGGGCTGATTGTGTTCCGGGGGGGGGGGGCGAGCCGCCCTCAAAATGACTAATTTTGAGAGAGTCATTCATTTTGTGCACTTCATACAATGATCCTCTTAACCGTAAACTAAAAGGGTTATACAAAAAAAAAGGGGGGGGGGGGCGCGCTCATTTAGACTGTTCTGTTTGTATATTTAGTCAAGACAGCATTGAGTCAGGTTGATGCTGCGTTGTGACTAATATACTAGGGAAAAACCTGAAGGAACCCGTCCAGCTTGAGCACTTACTGGTTTAACAGTTTTCTTGTTCTGGAAAAGTCGGTCGAAAATGTTGTATCTTCTTGTCACCATGCAGATTTGTTGCCTACAAGAAACCTGAATTCAACCCCGTACCCACCGTATACGATGATTTCCAGGCGGAGTTCAGTTCCGATCCGGTCTGGCCACAAGCTGCATCTGAATGGCTAAAGGTGTGTCCTTTATGTTTTGACATCTTTAAAATAATGAAGATAATTAAATTCAACTTATTTATGTTTCCAAAAAACATTACAAATCAATTATAAACAAGTACACCAATTTAGGAATACATTTCGAAAACAGAGGGTTCCACTAAAGCAATGATTGTACAATAGTGGAACCCTCAAATGATACTTAGGAATAATGAACGAAAGAACACAGGTAAGCTCATTAAAAGGTTGTGTCTGGAAGGAGTTATGGTGGAAATGGTCAAAAGAAGCGGATTGGAAAGGGAAGATGAAACTGTCAAATGAGCGTGGGATCTGGAAGTGGATGACATTACTTAGATGGAAAGGAAGGCCAACATTTCATGGAAAGATATGATGAAGAAAGAAACTAGTGATGTTGGTCTAAATGAGGAGGAAGCTTAAGATGTAAAACGAAGTGGATGAAGAAGAAGGGAGTGTCATCGTGGCGCGATATTCAGTAACCCTTTTGTGGGAGGTAAAATGCTGACTTTAATGAAATGATGATGACTATCAATTATGACAGAAAGTAGATACAAGACTGCTTTTGTGATATTTGGAACTTGTTTAGTTAAATTTCATATTTTCAATTAGTGTTTGAATGGGACGTTGGTACGAAAACTGCGACACTTGCTTCTTGTCAGCTTCCAACACTAATCGTATCTCTAACTTCCACCCTAGTCCCACTATAAAGGCCAACCTTACCCTAACCCTAACCCTTTACTTTTGACAAAATAAAGCAATAAACCACTCTGCAGATAGCACTTGTACAAAATAAAAAAATGATCCCCAAATATCCACACATTTCTTAAACATGGAGAAGTTCTAATTTTAGAATAATCTCTGCCAATGTGACGGAGTGGCGCGTTTAGGAGAGAGGGGATTAACACATACTTTGCAATAGTATTATTCAAGTTTTATAATTTCTTCTAATTTCGTAAAATAAATTTCGAGTTGTTTCCCTTCAATATTCAGGTTGTTCCATGGGGTTTCCGTCGTCTTCTAAATTGGATCAAGACTAACTATGGTGACGTACCCATCTACGTCACAGAGAACGGTGTATCTGAACCAGACGGGCCCCTGAACCTGGATGATGAATTGAGAACCAAGTACTACCGATCGTATATCAATGAAGCTCTCAAAGGTAAACGCGAATTGTATGGATATGATATTATAATAATACTGATAATAATGCCAATTATAAAGAATAATAATAGCAACAATAACAATAGTAGTAGTAGTAGTAGTAGTAGGCCTAGTAGTATACACATTTTGACTGATTTGTGGGTCACGGTCAAAACTATTGCCAAAGGTGGTCTCAAAACTGTATTGTGTTCGAGTTATAGTTTTAGTTATAGCATTGAATATTTGTTTTATATATTTGTTTTATATAAACGCATCCGCAGTGTCGATTCTCAAAGAGAGATATTATTTAAAAAATATGCCTGTCAAACTCTTAAATCCATTTCGCCACGCGGTAACTTTCGTGTCTTTGTAATGCTTTAATTGTACTGTACAATTTGACTTCTAAATATATCGTCAGTACTATTTTACCATAAAGTCTAAATATTTTTCCTCAGCCTCCAAAATTGATGGTGTCAACCTGCAGGGGTACTTTGCTTGGACTTTGCTCGACAACTTTGAATGGGCTTCGGGAGTCAGCGAACGCTTCGGTTTGTACCACGTAGATTTCAACGATCCTGCGCGTACTCGACGCGCCAAGAATTCGGCTCTCACCTACACCCAGATCATCAAGGATAATGGATTTCCATCTGACGAAGAGGCCAAAGTAGAATTGTAAAATGTAACAGAATTATATATTTACTTATAGTATACTTGAGTAAAATAGCTGGTAAAATAGATGCAAATATTTAGTCATGTGTTCGGACAGGTTCGTTATACCGACAGGCGGTTATATTTCGGACGGTAATTTGAAGAAGATTGCAAGCAATATTTTAAGAATTATTGATGACAGCGTTATAAAGGACACATATTCATGGGTCATGGTGGTTAGTGCTATTTAGTGCTTTTTCTTTAGATCCAAAGGTAAAAGAATAGTTTTATTTTTTGGTGAAGTGCCCGAACACATACAAAAGGGAAGAGGTGAATGTGCACATAAAACTACAACCTACCCCAATCCATCTGACATTATCATTCTCTGACATCTTATCAAACTTTTCGGATCTTCCCCTTCCTCAGAGCATTAAATCTATGCCCCCCTCAATGGCTGGACGCGCGCTATATAATTATGTTCCTGCTTTGTATATGATCAGCGGTGACCGACTGTTAAGGTTTGTTTAGATATGACGGGGCAACTGCGGCTTTCTTCTTTTTTCTTCGGATGTAAACTGCAATACCCTTCCCATTTCTGAATGTACTTATAGTACAAAACTTAGCCGTGGTTGCGCGCAGTTGCCTTACAAAATATATAACCGCGGAGGTTTTTACACCGACATATCTGAACAAGCCTTCATTATGATTTATTTTTCTCACATTTTTTGAACTTCAAACGATACAAATAAAGCATGGGCAATATTCATTTAATTGTTTAATGTTTATACCTATCTCATTGATTTACATGATAATATCAGACATATCGTTTATCGCCCGACCGTATATGTCGTGTGCAAACGAGACCTCTCTCCTATGTTCTCGATGCATGCTCGGAATCAGGGGAAAACATTCCGTTCCTCGGACAAAAACGTAAAAGATAAAGTTAAGTTTTGGTCATGCCATTTCATTGTGAAAGAAAGGGTGTGGAATCGATCACTTGACCATGTATCATACATATTGGTGTGTACTGCAAGGTTCCGGAATCTTCAAAATGATAAGAAATTTGGCCCAGCCTTGGTAAAAGTGACAATCACTGTACACATGATGTATATGAGACAACACAAACATGTGGAATAAAATGAGACCCACATTTTTATTCTGTAACATGTAATATTTAGAATATGAAGGCATTTTAAGAGCCATATCCTTTTCAGGAAACATTTTTTTTGTCTGATGTTCTTTCACATTTGCATAATAACAATGATAAAACTCACAACTTATTTGCCACCTCTCCCCAAAGCTCATCTTCTCTATATAGTTACTCGGTAACATTGTTGAAGATTGATACAAAATTCAGTAATTTCTGTATGAAATATTACTTATTATAGTCCTTCTACTGTACTTGCCCTCCAACATGTAAACAATTCTCAAACCACAAAGATATTTATGGTTTTCTTTGAAGGTTTCACTGTGCGACACCCTCTAACAGTAAATTCTCCCAGCCATCTTTGAATTTTCCCAACTGTTTTTCCATGAAAATAAGACATAAGACAGGCTTTTACAAATCTTTCAACACTTAAATGTCTCAAATGGGCAATTCATTGCTTTGTGAAGATTTCAATTCACCTAAAATGTAATCAAATTGTAATAATATAGTTTGGAGAATTAAAGAATCGATCAGATCAGTTTCCTCCAATTGTTATCATTAATAGTGGTTTGTTTTCAATCAAACTTTCAGATTATCTTTAATTGTACATCAAACATGGAAGTCACTGCCTTAGCACCATTTCCTCTCATCTGAACAATGTTACCAAGTCCCTTTAAGTGGAGGCCCTATCTGTAAGGGATCACACCGAAAGCACGTCAATATACATAAAGTAAAGTTTAAATCCAGAGTTCAGTTCATACACATATGGAAAACAGAAACATACAGATCTTCGTGATAGACTGTATAGCTCTTTGACGATTTAACAGTAGAAGAAAAAGAGCAGGGTAAAACATGTAGTAGAATCTCAAATAAGGATAAAATATGTTGATGAAAATGAAAGTTAACATATTAGGCCCAAAAATAATGAGATTCTCGTTCCTGCTCGCCTTCTTTTGGCAGCCGTCTCCTCTTTGGGGGATTATTATTTAGTATCCCGGGTTTGGTATTGAGAAGAAAAAACACACACAAAAACAAAAAAGAAGGCTGTGATGTACATTATGTATAAATAGCTTCTATGGCTAATTCAAGCTGAACACATGTACATTTTTCACTGTTTCTAAATGTAAATTTTGAAACTTACTTAATTAGCAAGTGGAGAGAGAGAGAGAGAGAGAGCGTGAAAGGAGAAGATTTGGGCGTAAAAGTGATTGAGAGAGAAGTTATCTTGTTATTTCTTATTCGAATTATAAAATACTAGCCCGGGGGCAACCGTGCAGACCTGTTTTTGGACAAAATTCTACTTCTTCCGAGAAAAAAAAGCCATGCGGTTGAAAAGTCATCTCGACTTTCAAACAAGTACAGATGGACTCTTTTACTCGAAAAAATCTAAAAGACACGACGCGATCTGTTTTCTAATTTTTTTAATTAATTTATTTATTAATTTATTATTATTATTATTATTATTATTATTTTATTTATTCATTTATTTATTTATTTATTTATTTATTTATTATTATTATTATTATTATTATTTTTTTTTTTTTTTGGGGGGGGGGGATTTTATGTTTTCGATCGATAGAAATGAGTTACCGAAGGTTCTTTTGACAAAGTTAAAGAAACATATTGAATTACATAGCTTACCGAGTGAGCGAGCTCCTACCACCTTCCAAAAAAAAGAAAACCCTTCTTACTAATTAAATTACTTTTATACTTTTTGAATTCCCTTCCTAAAGATTTGAACGTTTCATCTCGCACCCGTACCTAGCATGTCATCTTACATTATATGTAATTCAGAATTATTAATCTCCATATAACTTTAATAGATATGAATGTTTGGTAATTTTGTTATGCTTTTTTTGCATGATCAATTTTGCATAGAATAAAACGAAACAAACAAAACAACTAAACAATGAATTCTCCTGCCGTCTGCGAAGAATTCTATATCCACACAGACATGCTCTTATACACAATCCGAATGAACTATATAAGCAGAGTTACTCCAATTAATTCCAAGCGACGGGACTTAATTCGACTTAACCCTAAAAAGTGCGGGCTATTTGAGGTCTTAGTACGGCCGGGGGGGGGGGGGCATTATGGCCCCCATAAGATCTCGGCCGTGAAGCAGCCGATCTCCACGAAATTTTGCACGCATGTCAAATGAAGTGTATAGAATACTATTAAAATTTCAATTTTTTTGAAAAATTCACTCATTTGCATATTTATGGTAATTTATGCAAATAAGGTCATACAAACCACATTTTAACCCATAAATCATGTATTATTCATATCTAAGCATTCTTTTTCACTACATATATTCATTAGAACATTCTGAATAATAATAGAACAATCTTTTTTGAAAGTACCAGCGTATTCCTTATGTTATCTCTTGTTTTTATAATTTCTTATGAATTTCTTTGTTTTTTTAACTTATGTATTTTATTTTTGTTGTTGTTTTATTTCATTTCTAACTACAATTCAACTATTTTGACCCCCAAAACAACCACTTAAACTTTAATCAAGACCCAATAACCAATGTTTGATCTATTTTTTTAGGAAAATGACTTTTCCATATGTTTTGTACACAAATCATGAAAATGAGCGATTTTCGGGCTGACATGCAAAGACAAAAGGTTACGCGACGTTGTAACCGCAGGTCCGATTTTCAAACAAATTCTTTTAAAAGTTGCGCAAGACTCTAAAAAAAAAGTCAGCGAGCGGCGGGGCGCCATCCACATGCGTTCCCGAACAATCAGAAAAATCGTTGAGGGGGGGGGGGGGCATGATGGCCCCCTCGGCCTTATTAGGGTGCATTGACCAGCAATATTCTAGAAGCAGTACCAGGAGGAGAACAGATTAAGTTTCAGAAGAAAATATAATCACTCTCTCTGACACTGATGTACACGAAAAAAACATCCCAAGGTTAAAAGAAACACTTAATCCTCCAGTACGTTGCTCCCCATCCCCCCCCCCGCAGGATTTAAGAGTCATGTTTAGAAACATTTACCCTTTTAAAATGACTGTATACATGTAATACCATTTGAAGCAGTTGATGAAAATTAAGTTTCAACTTTGTCACCACACAGCCTTTGATGTATTCTTACTACTATGCCCCCACTTGCCCTCTTCTTCTCTCTCTCTCTCTTTCATTGACTTTCCACCCTCTTCAGTTTTTACCACTCTCACTCCTCTCCCTGTTTTCTCTCTTTCTTCTCGGAGCCGTCGATCTATGTCGTGTAAGTTTAACAACAACCGTGTGTGTATGTGTATGTGTGTGTGTGTGTGTGGGAGGGGGAGGGTGGGTGAAGAAGGTAGCCTATAATATCTTGTCATTTGGCAATTGTCTCAGAGGGGGGGGGGGAGGGTTATTGGCTAGGGGATAATTGTCCTGAAACGCACATCTAGAACCAGAGTTGGCCTGACTACGTATGTAATCTGCCCTGTTGATATTAAACCTTGATTTTTATCTTTGTCAACAGTTTCCACAACTTGGAGTCCTTAAAAATTGTCAAATGCTATTAAATGCGTTTTTGAAATAGTAAGAAGTCGAATTATTTTCTCTTCCCCTGAGTTGGAGCCATTTTAGTAAAATGACTGTATTATATCGCACGTGTAGTTTCAAGTTCAAGTTTCATTCAATTTCCTTTCGACATGGATTTCGGATACCCAACCTGTAGATGAGATTTCAAGGAAAATCGAAACAAATTGTAATCACTATAGGTGTGGGCCCTTCAAATTGGCTGAATCGTTAACGTCCCTAGGCTGTAGTAGAGGACAATTTTCCCCATTTCTTTCAACAAACAAAATGATTAAAACAATTATTTAAAAAAGATGTATGAATCAAAACTTCAGAAGGGTCTTTTCTCTGTAAAGGATCCAAAGGGAGGAGGCGCTTTGGAGTAAGGAATATATGAATGGCAGTTGTGTACACGACAAACGAGAGGGTTATCCACGACAACATCACAATCCTCCGACCGAAACTACATGTTTGAGGTTAACATAGACTAAATGATATCTTATTCGACGCATTATAAAACGGACAATGGGTAAAGTCAAATTCGTGATATTTCACCTTTCATTTCATAGTAATTATATTGTTTTTATTGGATGAAAAATCGGCCATGTTTTTGTTTTTGTTTTGTAGTATTGTTTTATTGTATTCATTCAGTACAAAATATATAACAAACACACATACAGCTTCATTGATTGACATATGTCAAAATATAAAGAAAATTGTACATCTCTCAAAAATACATAAGATAGTTTAATACACAGTACATAATGTTTAAATTTAATTATACTGAACGAATATTATAATAGACAGACAGACACACCACACACGCTCACATACTCAGACACACATACAAACTGACATATCCCCCACCCCCTTTATTCCAAAGCTCAACAAATCCCCCCTCCCTTCCCGAGCATTCACATCTACATATTCGTTGGAAATCCTGTCTCTTCCTTTTCCTTAAGACCAAATTATATATTTAAACAAAATGTCTGAGTCTCAGAAAGAAGTATTTGCCTCGCCGTCCTTAACTGTGGAAGTTGTCCCATTTTCTTAAGTGAAGTGTTAAAGTGCCTCTCTCCCCCGCTAATTCCTTTTCTTTTTGCCTATTTTCTATAACTCTTTTTTTAATTTCTTGAGGAATTGGGGGTCTATTTTTAGTTGAACTATATTTAAAAATCATATGTTTTGTTAAAAGAATGTTGTTCTTCTCCCGCATTGGATCTTTTTTTTTTTTATCCCGATATGAATTTCTTGCCAATGTAGATTTTTTAACGCTGATAAAGCAAAAAGGTCACTACAGTCCTTCCAA